GGCATGATAACCTCATGTCTCGTCCTGAAGCCTTGGATCTAGGGCAAAACAGCGATCTGTTTCGGGACAACAGCAGCACCTGCGACATCGGCCTGTCCGTCAGCCAGGCCAGCAATGAACACGATGGTGACCTCGTTTCCTTTTCAACTGATGCCGTTGAAGGTGGTTGTGGTGGTGTTGTTGGTGGCGCTGTCGAATGCAGTGTTCTTGGTGTTCTTGGTATCGAGGACGAAGGCGGTACGAGAAGCAATACAGATTATGTTGGACACAACGGACTTGAGATGTTCTCAGATGGTAACCTTTCCATGACCTTGTTACCACCAAAGGATGTTCAAACAACCGTACCTGCAGCTATATGTAACGGAGAGGCCTCTCTAGCGAACCTTCCAGGGGAGCCTCGACAAAGGGTCCCACTTCTACTTCCGCCATCACTTTCCCAATCAAAAGCACCTTCCCAATCATCCGTCTTTTTTCAGGCTCAACACTCTAACTTGGCACCCGTCATTCCACCGAAAGGAGTGTTACACCGCAAATCTTCGGCTCCACAGCCACCTATGCACCAATATCAGCAGCAGATTTCTGGCTCGAGATATGGCCAATCCAATGCCCATGTGTCTAATCTCGACACAGTCTTGCCACAGCTACGTATTGCTTCCTTGCGTGGAAATTTAAGCCCACCCACCCTCCATAACGGCCAGCACGAAGTTGGTCAGCCTAAAGCTTTGATCGAGAGGCCGACTGATGACGACCTAGAGGCTGGCTGCGACCCTACTGGTCCGCCAATAATGATCTCGAGTCAGAGTTGTGCTGGAGGTGGCGGCAGTGCTGTAGGAGGTTTACTCCCCCAGCCTCTGAGCAGGATTCGCCCGGCAAGGATCAATTCGAGTGTTGAGGTATGCAGAATATGCACGTGTCGACTGGGGTTCTGTTTATGCCAAACCTGCACTCTGAAATATTCGCACCTATGCTTTTTGCACAAGCGTGCCAGGCCCTCAATGGAGGATATGCATGCGTTGATTCTTTCTTTGCATGCCTTTTTCTGATGGTGCCTCTGCTTTTCTACAAAACCAATCTCTATTTCTCTTCCCACCCTTTTGAATTAGCCTCATGATTTCCAGGCTGTACTTTATCCCTATTATTGAGCTTATAGACTTCGAATTACGCTTACTCTTATCATTATGAGGTGTAATTTTCTGAGCATTTTTTGGGCTTTCTTCTAACTCGATTTACTCCCTACGTTCATAAACTTCTATTTGACTCAGTTTTGATGTTTTTAAGCCTTTATACTCATGCCATATAAAAAAACGTATCAGTTTGTCCAAAAAGTTATTTCGTAATTTGTCTATAGCTATTTGTTTCTCGGAAATATCTTGTTAAGAATTCGGTTGACAATGGCACTATTAAGGGTATCACCTTAGAAATCATCTAAATAATAGATCACGAGAAATCTCTAATCCATATTTGCTGCTCTATTATAGGAAATATCTAATACAAATTCCTTAAAACTTATAACAGTACAAATAAGGACAGCAGTAACTCTTTTGATCGATATATATATATATATATATATAT